CCAAGCCCTTCTTCAGCTCTCCAGCATTTAAAAAGCAACTTGTGGCTGTCAGACAAGAAGAAAGGAGAGGTCACCAGGGCACATGGCCCTTCTGGTGGGACTGTGCCCTTGCTGGCACAGAGCAGGCTGTTGGAGTAGAAGGGCTGGGGGACAGCACTTTTGTGGGATTCCTATGTCATTGTGAAGATTGTTTGTTTTATGTAGAAATTCTGTAAGATATTTTGATCTTCAATAAGCAAGGCAGGAATCCTTTTTCATCCTTAGGCATGAACCACATGCCTAAGGATGCCTCCTGTGTTCCAAAGTAAAGAAGTGAGCAGGAATTAAGTGAAGAGACTAAAGTCTTTGAGATTTGTGTTCAAGCACTCATACTCATGATAACACAGGGCAGAGAACTTCTGCACCAACTCCTTATGTTGCTTGAAATAAAGCATGTTTTCTAGAGAACTAGATTTAAAAACTTAGAGCTTGAAGATATTTTAGTGTTTAATTACCCAAGAAAAGATGCCTATGGGAGATTAAAAATATCCCCAAAGGATGATAATTCTGAATGCATAGTAAATTTCTGAGATTCAGCAGTTAGCTAATTCTTACCATGTGCTGCTTTTATTCTGTGAGACACTGAGATCAAATGCCTACATATTCTGTTCCCTCCTTCTCAGGGGATTCCCACTGTTTAGACAAGCAGCTCATGCTCATTCGGGGGAAAAATGAATTCCATTGCTCCCAAAGAAATGAACAAGGATGATTACAAGAGCTTTCCTTGAAGAATTCTTCTGCTTTGGTTTTGCCCAGAGGGACATCCTGAAATATTTTAAGTTCAATGCAGTAGTTATTAGTGCATAAAATTACTGAAATTTAGATTTTTGCAGAGGAGAGGAAGGATAGAAATGAGAAAGGAAGATTTTGGTATCATCAGCTGCAGGAAAAGTAGGAGATGGTAGCAATCAGTTAGTACTGAGAGTCTGTTGTGAGAGCGGGAGAAAGGACAGATTTCATCTTCATTGATATACTGGGGAAAGAGGAGCCATGTGGAAAACAGAATATTTTAAGCAAGATTAGTAGGCAAGAATGAAGACAGAAATAGTCTAAAGGAAATAGATAGTAATGGTACCACTGGGAAAAGAGATTTGGCCAAATAGAATTACTATTGTAAAAGGTGATTGGCTGTTGTAGTAAAAAACAATGGCAAAAATGCAGAACAGAATATTTTTCTATTTCTATTTCTGTCAAGTTGAAGAGTCCTATATTGAGATTGTTTTGAAACCCCCATATTATCCTCCCCGTTATTACACACCTAAAGTTATTTTCATGATTGTGTTTCTTCAAATAATTTCATTGACTTTTTGAAAAAGTTTTTTTTTTTAAGGCTCATGTCTAAAATGCTTTGGCAGTAACGATGTTTGGATGAAGATACCAGAGATTTACAGCCAGAATCTCTCACTTGTGCACTCTCAATGATCCCCATACGATGTCATTTTTCTAGAACAAGTGTCATCAGTATTCTTTTTCTTAAGAGGTTATGCGTGGATGTTAATAGCAGTTTTGCTTGAATATTGATTTATCCCACTACCTTGTCATCTAAGCAGAGTCTGTACAAAGCAATTCTGACTTTCTGTTGTCTATTCACCCAGCTTTTATTGCCTTCTTTATGATTCTGACAGCAGTTGCAGTTATTTTGCAGCAGTAAGCTGTGTAACTCACAGGACGCATCAAGCAAATAACTTAGTTTCTCAGTCTACAGGTGCAGGCTCTTAAACGAAATTCATCAGCAAGTAGGGAGTGTTGTAGTTTGCTAGTATCCTTGGCAGCAGGATATTCTGGCCACAGCTGATGTATTTAAAAACGCAAAGTTCTGATTTTAGCTGGGTGTAATGAACCAACAAGGAATGAAAGTGAAAAGATAGTTGTTGATGAACTTATATACAACAGAGATTCACAAGCAATTTTGAGAAAAGCTCACAAAGAAGAAAGTTGAACATTGCAAAGAGGTGAATTGATCACTCTAGTAGAGGTTAAAATGTATTTTAAAGTTACTATGATTCTAATGCACATGTAGGCCATCCTGGATGTCCCATTGCTCAGGTGGTAGAAAGGCATTTGGCTTTCAGCCTCTTGCTTCACAGCTTACTTGGGATTTGTGGTATTTCCTGTAACCACATATTTGAGTATGTGGCATCAGCTTTCTGCTGTAGCTGAGGTTTAGCTAAAATTAAACTGTCTTCAGACTAGTAAACATAAATCTTAATTCTTTTTGCTTGTCTGGTATCTGTATCACAAAAAATCTTATAACCTATATGATCCATCCTCTATCTTCCCCTGTCCTTTGTTTTTATTCTCCCCATTTTCATCTGTGGTCCTTTAGATTTCCTCACCTGCTTTGAACAGTCCTCTTTTTCTGGTCTGCACTGTGGGCTCTGGGCTGCTCCTTTTGCCAGTGGCATGTACAATCTCATGCTTACACATTCCTGCTGCCCTGATCTGTCCCTGGTCCCATTCAGAAAAGATGAATTCCAAGAGCTGTTGAGACACACAGTGTCCTCTGAAAATGAACCTGCAGTTTCCAAGAAAACTCCACCAAGCTGCTTTCCTGATTGGAGTCTGTGTGCTATAAACAGAACTTTGGAAAATGTCAAATTCTAGTTTCTATCAAATTTATGTGTCCAGTCTCATAAAGCAGCCTGATTTACAAAGCTGTCATAAGAAAGGCCAGGGATGTCTCTAATGGTTTTAAAACCTTTGCCCTGAGGATGGGAGGTTGCAGGAATTATTTTAACTTCATTTTTTGTATCTCAGTTCTACACTATTGAAAGTGGCAGGCTTTTACTTTCCAAAGGAAAACACACAACTACAGGAGAATTTACTTAGATGCCTTCAGCCAGATGCATGAATATAGAAAAGCTGTATAATAGGTAAAATGGGGTTATAAACAGAAATTTGGCCTTGACTGAAGGCAGTAATACTTACACACTAGTTTTGTACATTTGCAGAGACATTGCTGAAGTCATATTAATGAATTTCCTGGAACTGAGATTTGTAAAAGGCTGTAAAATAAAAAAGAATATGCTGTTCAATTTAAATATTCTCTTAGGTGACATACCTGTGAGATAACCTGTAAATCCCAAATTAAAATTGGTCTGTGTTGTGTCATTTCATTGTCTAAGCAGATCTGACAGAGTAAGTTTAAAAGCCATTATTAATAGCATATATTAAATTAGCTTTGAAACATATCCATTTTGATAGTTTATCTTTTGACAGCATAAGTCCTTAAAAAAAAAAAAGTTGTGGCATTTTTGTCCCAACCCCCCTCCTTTTAGTTTTTTTCTTTGTGAAAACATCGTGAAAAGCTAACACCTTATTTTAAATTAATTTACTTTCTTTTATTATTTTTCAAATACCTAAGCAGAAATGTTATACTGGTGTAAATATCTATTTGTGGACTATAAAACTATTCTGCAAGGCATCCTGAAGAGCAGATCTGGTGTATTCAGGCCAGTGGATTCTCCGCTTGTTAAAGACAAGAGCAGCTCTTCACCTCTGCTGGTTTCCACAGCTCCACTGGCCCCATTGCTATTGGCAGCTTGACAAGGAAGCCCACGATCCATCCTGCAATCAGCCAGCACCAAACCTTCCCTGAGATCTCTCTCAGCCAGAGGCAGCTCCTTGGATTCTAGGCTGACACCAGCCAGTGGACAGAGTGATTCATGCTGCCTGAAGATGAGTGCCTGAAAAGTCTTGCATCTCTCTCCCTTGAGTGTAACAACCAGTTTGTACTTGTCACTTAACTTTCCATGGGCAAAGTGAAGTGTGGAGAGCCCTCCCTCCCTTTTATGTTCCACAGCTAAGGATAACGGATCTGAGTACTGGGAGAAATGTGTGTGTGCCCAGAGCAAGCAGCTGCAGGAAGTTGTGAGCTCTCTGCTAAGTAGATTAGAGACTGTAACCACGTCCTGAAGTTTTATAAACTTCTTACTCAGTTCTTATTCGGCAGAACTCTCTGTGAAACTTCCACTTAGTCACTGGCTGTTCATCGCAAATGATTGATCAGAAGCATTCCTCTAATGTAAATCAGCCTTATCATGTTTAAACACTAATATAACTTCTACCAGCCAGGATGTTATGCAGACTGGGAGTGGGAGGGATGCAAACAGCTGGAAGCATTCCCTATTTACTGAGTCCACATTGCCATAGTGCTGCTTTGCACAGTTGGAGAATCGCTGTGCAGAAGGAGCAGTTCACAAAGAGTTTAAAATTGTTTGGCCTCAAGAACACATGATTTTCTTTTCATTTCATGCTTTGATTTCAGTCCTCTGGGCTAAAAGTAAGGAGACAGAAATATTAAGTATGCTGGCATTTTATTTATTCCACTAATTTCACTGCCATCTTATAGTAGGGAATACCTTCCCACCAAGTACTTGTTTCACATTGCAGAGATTTCTTTCATGCTGCTGGGAAATGTATTTTCTGTCTTTGAAAGTACCATAAAAGTACAGTGAACTGTCTCAAGCTGACTCATGATTGGGGCAGATGATTCTTACAGCTCAGCTGATTCTGGATAGCATCAGATTGGTTATTTATGGCTTTCAAGTGACTTGTTTGTTCTTCCTTATTTAAAATCTAATTTTATACCGGGCAGGCCTTGGCTATTTATGTAACAATTTTATCTGCTACCCCTCATCTTTTACTGGAGGTAAACTGAATACAAGTGGTATAATTTTTGTTTGGAGGCTTTTTTATTTTCTGTTGGGAAAGGATGGGACTGAAGTGAAAATGAAGGTTGTCATTCTTGTCGTCTGGACATCTTTGCTTTAGTCATACTCTCAGCCTTGACTTCTAAGTGCAAACAGGAACTTGAGTCACTTGTGGGAAAAGGTGCAGACCTGCTCATGACATTTCACCTGCAGTGGAAGGATTGTCCTTCACTCTAATTCAGTTGTTAAAGTAAAACCAAATGACACAGCACTGATAAATCCATATACTGAACTACTTGTATCACCTTGCTCCCTTTATCTTACTGGACTTACTGTCTTAAGGGCACTAAATTATTTCTGGAAATAAGCTTTTTTCCTGGGATACAAAAAAGTGAGCTAATTAAAAAGATATTTTTTTTTCACTTGGTCATTTTAATAACATTTTCTTCTCACAGATGTCATTGAATCATCTACTAAAAGAAATACTCAATTATGAGATAATTTACATCTACAGAAAAATCCCAGGATGGTTATATTAAATGTCTTGCTGTATGACAGAGATCTCATCCACCAACTACACAATATGCAGTTAATTTCATATAGGAGTTCATTGACAGTTTTCTCACATGGCACTCTCATGTGGTATTTAGGGTTTCATATCCTTAAACTTATATCCAGTGGTAGAGTGTCCCGTCAGTGATACAGAGTGCTTTCCTGGCTGAGCAAGGAAGGGGAATTCTGGTATCTGGCTATTTAAATTTTAAATGTCACCCCCTGTCATCTTTCTTTCCAGTACTGGTAAATAAAGGACAAAAATTTATGTTGTTATATATTACATTTCGTGAAGCGAGGGAAGAATTAATTATTGTGTAAGTGGAATTTGAATCTTGGTCTATTTATGTCTGTACATATATATGCATACACACAGATACATATACATATGTGTGTATGATCATCAGATACATTCTGGGTATGTGTACAAGGTTTATTTATAAAGGTTTTTCCCTTCTGCACTAAAAATCTTTTTAAAAAACTGTATCAGTGTGGCAACTCTCTATACTGTTTGGTCTTAATACTGATGAGAACATTTAAATAACTCATCTAGATGAAGTAGCTATTTACTGATTTCTTTAAACTTTATAGGCTAAATTGTATGAACTAAATTCAGAATAAAAATAGTTCTGCTTTTGCTTTCTTTAGCAGTGTTATTACATTATTCTCTGAGAAGAGTAACAAGTTTCATATTAGCATTTAAATTCTCATGTTTCATTCTCCCACTAGTGTACCTATTCTTCTAGAAATAAGTAAGATTTGTTGCTCTTTATTTTGGATGTGTAATTGCTCTAACTTCTGCTGCTATATGACCCTGAGATGCTACTGCTGCTCACGATTTTTCTAGGGAAAATATGAAACTTAGTGAGCACATGAGTTCATGAGAAACTAGTGGATCCTCTTCTCAGTGCTTGTAAGTTTATGATTTCCTTGCTTTTTAAGTGAGCTATGGTAACATTTCAATTTGATATCAAAATTTATTGTGTGACTAAACTGTTCTTCCCATCTCCTGTGGGGTGTTTGGGCAGTAGCATGCAGACTGCAGTACTTATGGTTGCAGCACCCTGTTCCTGACAGCATGAAGGATGGTGCTGTGCTGCTGGCATGGCTCAGCAGCCCTGGGCTTATGCCATTTGCTTCATTTTAGGCCCCTGGTTTGAGTTATCTCTGCAAGGAAATGTCCCATGGTAACTGCCAAAGCTTTTTGTTTCACAACCCTTTTTCTATGGGTGCCCCAAGTCCCCACCCCAGGTCAGCCTCCCCACAAACCCTCATCCCAGGCTGCTGCTCTCAGCCTTGGTGCTGCTCTAAGCATTGTGCCTGTCCTTGAGTGTTTTTCCAGATGCTCAGCTGCTGCAGTACTTTTGGCTACTGGGGCTGCTGGCCAACTCCAGTTTAAAATACATTCTTCTGTTAAAAGTATTCCCCAGGCAACCAAAAATATTCACATCTCATCTCTTTCTGCATTTGCTGGAGATCCACTAGTGGGGGTACAAACACTATGGGGCACACACAGACACACCTGTTTCTAATGATGTGATGAAAAACCTTTCATGTTTCTATGTTAACTGGACTAAAAAAATGAGCCAGTAGTGTAAAAATATAATCTGGCTGTGCAAAATTGAGATACTGCATATATAGTACTTTCTAATATACTACCACCCACTTGAAATTATTATTCAATGTGCAGATTGGGTAACACAAAAGAAAAGCCCAGCCACCTGTTCTTTGTGGCCTGCTTATTCTGTTGTTCCACCATCCTTTGAAAATTATTTTCTTGAAAACACTTTTGCGATCTGGCTGGCTGTTTTCCTGGAAAATAGCTTCTGAATAAATAATAGGATGTGGTGGAAACTCCATGGAAACGGTGGGGTTGTTAGCTCTGTTTCCAGCTGTTGTCCTCATCCACATCTCCATTGTAACCAGTGGATCTATTAAAGTGTAAATCTTGTGGTTTCCTCCCTGACAGACTTCCAAGTCATTTCCTTCACATTTCTACTGTGTGGACAATTTTCTGTAGGTCTTTTACTAGTCCATGAATTTTATCCAGAAGGGATGACCATCAGTAATTACCAATTTGGTTGTAATGGTTTGGTAAAGCTGTTAATCTAGAGTCCATTGGCCTCATAGCCTCACTTAAATTGCAATACTAAAAAGGGAAATTTGTCAAAATCAAGCATGGTTTTGAGTTTTGCAAGATGTCCTGTGCAGCTGTTTTTGCAAGTGATGGGCTCATTTTATTCTGAGCTGAATCTAGAGTTGCCTGTGAGGTTTGGTATCTTAGTCAGAGTATGTATTTAATATAATACCTATATAAAGAAAAAAAAGGGAAATGTGAGTACTTTAAAACAATTCTATTTCCCATGACAAACCTGACTTTTTTTCTACTACCTTAAATACATTATTCTGTGTTACATTTTGTTTTGAGTTTCTATTTGCATAACATAGAACTAGTTTCTTATTTTTTATGTTCCTCAGTTCTATAGACAGTGAGAGAAAATAACAGCCTGAAGGTCCTGGCAGAGGCTTCTGAAGATACAAACTGTACAATAGGTGTGGTGTGTTTTTCCTCTGGGTAATGATTCTGCAAGGCAGGGCAGCGTTGCTTCATGTGGGATTGTCTCATTTTAAGGCTTAAAAGAGTGGTTACATTATCATTTATTTTCCCACTAAATGTTGCCAAAAATATTTTTAAAATGGGATTTCATTAAAACAGGTCAGACTTTGTCGCACACAAATAATTAGAAAAATAAGGCAGCAGCTTTTTGAAGAGAATTAAAAGTACTTGAGTTTAGTATACAAAGGCACTAATCTTCCACTGGAGAATAGGGAAAAGGCATGGCTGGCATGGACTGTCCTCCTGTCTCATGTTTTCTTGAGCAAGAAGAAAGGAAAGAAGTTTTTCTCATAGTTTTCTAATAAAACTATGGAAGAAAATTGAAATAGTGCCAACAGACCTGAAACTAGTATTCTTCTTCATTGGTGCATTAAATTGAGTCCAGTAATGGAGAAATGTACCTCAGGGCTGAGCATCAACTGAGTTTACTTCAACTTATTAAAAAAAAGACTTTCCATTTGCAATGCATTTATATATATATATATATATGTATATATAAAAAAAAAAGTCTTTCTTTCTCCCCAGCTTAATCTGGAAACATTTTTGTGAGCCAGCAGTTGCTGGACCTGCCTGTCTCCCAGCTCAGAGCTGATCTCAGGGCTGTAAAGCTCTGCTGTCTCTGGTGCTGTCCGGCCCACAACTGCTGGGCTTCCTCAGAAGCTGCTGCTCTGCTGAACATCTGCCAAGTCAGTGATATTCCAGACTGACCATTTCATATTCAACAATACAGATTTTTTTTGGACAA